TCCTCCTCTTCCTCCCCCCCCCCTTCTCCCTCCTCTACCTCCTCCTCCGCCCCTCCCTCCTCCTCCTCCCTCCTTTTGTCCTTCTTTCTCCTCCTCCTCTCCTCCTCCTCCTTCTCCTCCTCCTCCATCCTCCTCCTCCTCCTCTCCTCCTCCCCCCCCTACCCCCCGCCTCCGCCTCCTTCCTCCTCCCCTCCTCCCTCCCCCTGCTTCCTCCTCGAGAGTCTCCTCCTCCTTCTCCTCCTCCTCCTCCTCCTCCTCCCCTCCTCCTCCTCCTCCTACCTCTCCTCCGCCCCCCCCCCCCTCCTCCCCTCGCTCCTTCATCCTCCTCCTCCTCCTCGCTCCTCCTCCTCCTCCTCCACCTCCTCCTCCTTCCCCCTCCCCTCCCCCCCTCCTCCTCCTCCGCTCTCCTCCTCCTCCTCCTCCTCCTCCTCCCGTGCCGGCCCGAGCAGTGCTCTTGGGCCGTGTCGTCTGCCCGTGCCGTCTTGCTTCTGCTCCCGTCCCAGAGATCCGACGCTCTCGACAAATTTGGAGCGGCAGGATTTTGGCAGTTTGGGGCCTCTGGGTGCCCTTGCCAGGCTTCGGGGGCGTGAGAAAAAGACGTCTCGGGACGAAAAAGTCCGGCCCCGGGGAGGTGGTCCAGACCTCCGGGGCCCACGCATCGAAGAAATTGGAGCAGCCGGATGTCCGGGCTGCAGGCTCGGAGGTGACCCCAGAGCTGCTCTGGAGCTGCTTCCTGGCCTGCGGCGACCAGTTCGACGCCTCGTTCTGCGGCGAGGTGCTCCGGGCATCCCCGCTCGGGCAGGCTTGACACGCCGCCGGGCCCCTCGCCAGCTGAGCGCCGAGCTGCTGCTGGGCCCTCGATAGCGGTGCGCTGCGTCGGAGCGTCCGGCCAGTCGAGGGGAGTGGAGCCCCATCCGCCCGAAAAAAATATTTGCACACCCAAACGCCTGGGGGGGGCGAGCGAGGGTCCTGGTCGCGGGTCTGGTATACAAGATTTCCTCCCTTGGGCGTGGTTTTTCTATACTGCGGTGCAATCTAAGTGGGGCGGGGAGGGCGTGGTATACAAACACATCTTCAGGACTCCAGGCCGCCCAAAAGTCGGAGAACTCGCGCAGCGACCGCCTGGAGAGAGAAGTGCTGACGCTCCTGACGCTCCTGGCGCTCCGGAGGCTCCTCGGGGCGTCCGGGGCGTCAGGAGCGTCCGAGCGCCCGGAGCGTCAGGAGCGTCAGGAGCGCCAGAGCGCCCGGAGCGTCAGAGTGTGTCGAGCGGAAGGAGCGTCAGGAGCGCCAGGGGGGCGACGGAGGCGTCACAGGTGTCAGGGGCGCCAGGATCGAGAGGAGCGCCGCCAGGAGCGTCAGGAACGTCAGGAGCGTCAGGAGCGTCAGGAGCGTCAGGATCGTCAGAAGCGTCAGGAGCGTAACAGGCGCCAGGGGCGTCAGGAGCGTCAGAAGCGTCAGGAGCGTCAGAGGAGCTGCTACTATCTTGACCAATTTGGTCACCGTCAATGAGGATAACGATGGACACATCGATCTATATATATATATAAGTATATAGATTATCACAATGCGGCCCTACCTTACACATATATATATATAGATATATATATATATGATAATATATAACAGCACCCTAGGTGGGGGGGCACTAATTCGCCCCCCCCTTGACCCCGCTGGGGGTGTTTGGGCATGGTGGCTGTCGGAGCGGGTGGAGGGGGTGGTGGTTGTGGGGACGAGAGGATGATGATGAGGGGGAGGAGGATGGAGGGGGGGGGGGCGGGGATCGGGCAAGCTCAGTCGAAAGGTTACCCCCCCCCCCTCCCTTGCGAAATGCCCCGCCGAGGGCTCAGGGGGGGGGGGGGATCGTGGTGCGCGCTCTCCCGCGGGTTTCCTGCGCAGCGCTGCCCGACCTGGGGCAACACATGTGTGGTCACTGCGTCGGCTCCCGCGAGGTTGTCGGGCGAACGGGGTCCAGGCGGTGCCTCGACCCAGACGGCAGCGACGGGGTGGCACGACAGCATGGCAACCTCACGCCACCTTACAGGCTCCAAGAGAAACAGCAGTTCCTCCTCCTCCTCTCCTCCTCCTCCTCCTCCTCCTCCTCCTCCTACTCCACTCCCTCCCCCTCCTCCTCCTCCTCCTCCTCCTCCTCCTCCTCCTCCTCCTCCTCCTCCTCCTCCTCCTCCCCGACGATCACTGAGTATGGCACCACACACCTGCCCATCTTCAAGCACATCATGCATCGAAACTGCCCCCACGTCTCATGTATTCCGAGATCAGCCTCAGGAAGTTCAAGCCCAGGAGCAGCACACGGCGGAAGAATTGCCACAGCCAAAGCCCTACTCCGAAGTTGCCGAACATCGATCCGAAGAAAAAGCTCACCCCATTCATCAGACCGAAACAGCTCCAAGAATCTGCCCGAGAGAACATCCAACAGTTCAGCCCCATGCTCGAGTACCCCCAAGGCCTCCACGTCTTCCCAGTACATGCGGGCCCAAGGGTGTGCCTGAGAACTCAGAGAGCCACTCGAAGTGAAGACAGTGCGGGACTCGAACATACTCAGTGATCGTCGGGGTGTACATAACCCTATCATTGCACGTCACGGCTACCATGCCTTATCGAGTGTGCTGAGTATCTCGAATCAGTGCTGTGTGTGTTTCACTACTTTCTCATCGCGGGTAATCTGTCGGCGTCATCTTCACGATTATTTGGCGCGAGGTTTTTGCAGCGATACCAGCGTTTGACATCGTAAACAGCTTCAGGTACCAAGTTCTTATCAGTGTCCGCTGTGCGTCTCTTACGGTAGCAGGATCGAGGCTCTGCAGGTGCATCTACGCTCTCACCTTCAACCTCGCCCCCAGCCTCGACCTCCCTGGCTTCGAGTCCGTGGCAGCCATGGACAAGCGCCCCGCGTGGATGCTGGAAGCACACTCGGCGGGCAGCTCGGGCTCCGCGTCGCAGGGCGCCCCGAGGCGAAGGCCAGGAAGCTGGTGGAAGAGGCAAAGGGTCAGGCCAAGGGCAATGGCGGAGGGGACGTTCTTCGGCAGCTGGTGATCATCATCACCAAACTTTCGCTCACGAGCGCAGCCGAGTTGCGGGACGTTTGCGGCGTAATGTTTCACACCTTTATCTTGGCCACCGACCAGGTGGCGGCGGCCGCAGGCAAGAACGCCCGCGTGCAGTACCACAACGAAGTGCAACGATTGAAGGACGCTTCCGTGTCGACGGCTCACCTCGGCCCCCCGTTCCTTCAGGTCTGGTCGGCGTTCATCTCAGCAGCTGGTCACGACCCTGCGTGCCCAGAAGATTGCAAGAAGTGTTTCGAAGAGTACTGGGCCGAGGTGGTGATGAAGCGGGCGCCCCTCGAGCTCGCGGACGAGATTCGGGCGTGCCGTGTCCGAGGGACGAGGAAGCAGGAGTCAAAGTCGAAGAAGTTTCGTCTCACTTTCGCGATCGATTCGAAGTATCCCGAGCTCGAGCGGTCTATTATCAAGTACCTGAAGGCGGTGGGCGGAGAGAAGAAGGTAGGTGCGGCCCCGAGGGGGTCCTTGGAGTGGGACGCGGCGAAACTCCTCGACAGGTTGACCAAGGGATGAAAGCTGAAGCAAGGCCTAGCAGTAGTGTAGCCGTGCAGTATGGGAGTGGGGGGCTGGGTCGGACGGTGGGTGGGGAGGGAGAGGATCGCTTTGCGACGCGTGCCCAAGCTGCGGCACGCGCCCGCACCGTGGCGCAGGTCGCGCGCGAGGTCGCTCGCCGTCCCATGCTCGCGTCGTCGGTCAGGCTCAGGCTCAGGGAGCTTGCAACTAGGAACTAGGAGGGCCTTTTCTACTCCTCCTCCCTCGTCCTCCTCGAGGGCTGCTGCTGCGGTTGCTGTTCCTTCCTCCGACCCTCCTGAGGCCCTCCAAAGTTTTGGACTCTCGTCTGGGGACCAGGCTCTGGAAGGAGCTTGCGGCGATGAGCGCAGGTTCACTCGCCAGGAGCGTAGGTCTCCCAGAGGCGTGCGAAGTCACGAGGAAATGGCTGGACGACCGGCGGAGCCTTTTTTGTCGAGTGAGTCGTGCTGCCGTCCCCCCAAGCGCGCACGCCCGCGTAAGGGGCGGACTGGGGCCCGCGCGCTCGCTTCCAGTGCCAGCAGAGGCGGGGAAGCCGAGTGAAGCTGCCTCAATGAGGTCACTCAGGTGCCCAGCTTTTACCAGCGTCATGCCGGGGACAGTCCTCCTCCTCCTCCACCTCCTCCTCTTCCTCCTCCTTATCCTCCTCCTCCCTCCTCCTCCTCTCTCCTCCCTCCACCTCCTCCCCCTCCTCCTCCTCCTCCCTCCCCTCCTCCTCCTTCTCCTCCTCCTCCTCCTCCACCTTTTCCTCTTCTCCTCCTCCTCCCTCCTCCACCACCTTTTCCCTCCTCCTCTTCTCCTCCTCCTCCTCGCCCCCTTCTTCTTCTTCTTCTTTCTTCTTCTCTTCTTCTTCTCTTCGTCTTTTTCTTTCCCTTCTTCTTTTCTTCTGCTTTCCTCCTCGTCCTCCTCCTCCTCCTCCTCCTCCTCCTCCTCTTCCTCCTCTTTCTCCTCCTCCTCCTCCTACTCCTCTCCTCTCCTTCCCTCCTCCTCCCCTCCTCCTCCTCCTCCTCCTCCTCCTCCTCCCCCTCCTCCTCCTCCTCCCTCCTCCTCCTCCTCCTTCCCTCCTCCTCCTCCTCCTCCTCCTCGTCCTCCTCCTTCTCCTCCTTCCTTCTCCTCCTCCTTGCTCCTTCTCCTCCTCCTCCTCCTCCTCGTCCTCCTCCTCCTCCTCCTCCTCTTCCCTCCGCTCCCCCTCCCCCTCCTCTCCTCCTCCTCCTCCTCCTCCTCCTCCTCCTCCTCCTCCTCCGTAGCCATTTTGGCTCAAGGTTTTGATTCCCTCGGGGTCAGAGTGGAGACCTCTGATCCGAGGACAGCTCTCAGCAGTTGCGGCCTGTTCGCCCAGGTCAGGACCGCCCGACACCCAGGTCGGGCCGCTTTTGTGAGCACGGCGCCACCATGCCGAGGCGCCAGACGTACACGGTCTGCAGCGGCTGCAGCAACTGGGTGTATGATTGGAAGCTGCAGCGCACGGGAGGCTGGTGCAACAAGTGCAACGACTACCTCAGCGGATGGAGTGAGCAGCCGCCGTCTGCGGGCCGCAGCCAGCGAGGGGATGGCAAACCCCCGTGGGCAAAGCAGCCAGTCACTTCGCCCGCGGACGAGCTGCAACACATCATCAACAAGTTCCAGCTGGGGAAGGGCGCCTACGCCACAGCCAAGGCCATGGTCGACCTTGGCCCGCTGCAGGCGCTCCAGGCCCAGCTCACAGCCAAGGCGCCGACGCCCGCGGAGATCCCGAAGGCAAAGGCGCTCAGGCAGGCGATCAGCAACTTCGACCAGAAGAAGGCGGCGCTGGCGAAGGCGACGAGCCAACTCGCGGAGGCGGAGCGCTGTCTCGGCGTCGCCACGGAGAGGCACAACAAGGCGCTGGAGGAGGCAGCTGACGCGGAGGAGGAGCACGAGGCAGTCCTGCGGGCGTACTCCAGCGAGGCCATCCCCTCACAGGACGAGGCTTCGGCTACGGAGTGGAAGGCGCCCGAGGTGGATCCCACGCTCTTCGACAACCTGGACGACTTCGAGCCTGAGGATAAGAAGAAGCTACTCAAGTTCAAGTCGGATCTGTCGTCCCTCGCGAAGCTGCTGGAGAGCGCCCAGAAGCAGTACACGGAGTTCACGGAGCTTAAGAAGCAGGCGGACGCCATCCACGCTTCCCACAAGGCGAAGAAGCGGAAGGCGAACACAGGCGAAGAGGCACCAGCAGCTGCACCTCCACCAGCAACTGACGACGACTCCAAGGCAACCGCTGGCTCTGAGGCGGACAAGCAGCCGTCAGAGGAGGAGGTGCAGCAGCGCAAGGACAGACTGGAGAGGCTCCGTAACGACGCGAAGGTCAAGACGAATCCGAAGCAGGAGCCTGCTCAAGCTGAAGGCGCTGCTGCTGCTGGTGGCCATCGCCTTTAGCAAGGTGTTCTTCTCGAACATCACGCAATGGGGCCCCAAGGCCCACAAGTTCATCAACGAGCAGGGCAACGACATGGACATAATCATGATGTGCGAGACGCACTTGGCGCAGGATCAGATGAAGCAGGTGAAGGTGGACGTGGCGAAGGACGGCTGGAAGTCGGCGGGCACAGCGGCGGTGCCCACGAAGCGCTCGGCGAACGGGACCTCGGGTGGTGAGCTCATCCTGGTCAAGTCTCACATCGCCTGCTCCACCTACGACACCATCAGAGAGAGGCTGCAGAATGACGGGAAGAAGGACCCCTTCTACGGCTTCACGGCGGTGAATCTCCACACCAAGGCGGGCAACGTGGTCTTGGTCACAACATATTGGTTACCAGGAGCTGGTCTGCACGGACCCAACCGAGAGAGGGTCAGAGCGCTGGCAGGATTCGTGAAGGCGCTGGCGGACCCGTGGGTGGTCTTGGCGGACTGGAACGTCACCTTCGCGGACATTGCCAAGACGGGCTACGTGCAGCAGATCGGCGGGGCGCTGGTCAAGCCAGACGTGGAGGTCACCTGCGACAAGGGGAAGGGCAGCCTGATCGACTACGGCATCGCAAGGAAGGACTTCGCGCACAAGGTCAAGCTGGAGGCAGTCCGCACGGTGCCTTGGCGAACACACTGTGGACTGACGCTCACGCTGGAAGGCTCGGCGACGGCCTGGTGGCACCGCAAGATGCAGATACCGAAGGAGCTGGCGACACCGCCGCGACCGAGGAAGTTGGCGGATCCGAACAGCAAAAGGACCCGCAAACGACAGGAAGAACGGCAACGAGCAGAGGAGCGACTGGAGCCACACCTTCGGGAAGCCTTCCAGGAGCAGGCCATGATCGAAGAAGCGGAGTCAGAGAAGAAGGTTAAGGACTTCTACATCACAGATGGGACTTGGACGGCGGCGGTGGCGATGGCGAGCTTATCAGGTTCGAGCTCGACACCCTCGGCGTCCCAGATAATTCTTTTCGGGGGCAGCCAGGGCCGCACCCCACCTCCAGCCTCCAGCGCGTGGCCGCTCCTTGCGAGCGTTGAGCCGCCTGAGGCTGTCGGCCCTCCAAGCATGGAGGATAATGGGGTGCTGGCGTTCCCTGCTGCTTGGCCCGCCGCATCTCAGAGGACCTCATGCTGGCACCTGTCTAAGGAGCTCCAGTCATGGGACGACAAGCTCATCATCCGAGACGTCAGGCACCGCGTGGCAGAGGCAGCAGCGACGAGGATGTACGGCGACTGGGTCACCTGTCTGGAGGAGGCGGCGATCCTCACGGATGAGATCGACGAGGAGGAGGCCGAGCACTACAGAGGACGGGCTTCGGGCTTCGAGGTCAAGTGGGTCAAGGCGCGTTCGACACCAGGTCGCACCCACATGAAGTTCGGTCCAGCGGAGCAGTGGGGCATCCTCAACGCCATCCTCATCAGGTACCAGGCGCTGTACACCAACGGCACCGACGGCAGGCAGCAGGCAAAGTGCTTGGTGGAGGCAAAGGCGCAGGGCAAGGTCCTCCAGCAGATGGATCAGAGCCAGGTCTTTGGCAGGAAGCACGGCGCTGCACAGCAGCAGATGTTCTACGATATACTGGACGACCTGGCGGACTTGGATGAGGGGCAGCTCGGCAACTTAGTCATGCAGGCAGAGGGCCACCTCGCCACTGCGCAGGCGCGTGGCTTCACGGCGCAGCAGAAGAACTTCACGGCGTGGGCAAAGAAGGCATGGGCAGGCATGGTAGGCCTCCTCCATCGGCACGTGAAGGAGCAGCAGGCGCCGAGGTTCGAGCTGTGCACGGAGGAGATGGAGGGCATCGCGGACCCAGACGCCCTCATTGGCATCAGGAAGCACGAGTGGGAGCGCATATGGACGGACCCAGTGGACACGAAGGAGGACATCGCGTACCAGCTGGGCAGGCTGCGCGATCAGTCCTGGGAGCACGTGCTGGAGCCCCTCACGCTGGAGCAGCTCGACGGGGCCATCGGCGCGTCGTCGTCGGCCAAAGCAAAAGGAGTTGATCATCTTGGCCCGCACGATCTGGCTCGGGCTCCCAGAAATGCAAGAATATGGTTACTTCACATCTTACAGTATTGCGAGCAGGAGGTCACATGGCCGAGGCAATGGGTAGCCACCAAGTGCGCTCTGGCGGCCAAGCCCAAAGGAGGAGATCGGGTACTCGGTATGCTGGCCCTCCCCATCAAGCTCTGGTCTAGGGCTCGGGGAGGGTGCTGCACAGAATGGAGTGACGCGTTATCGGCCCATTGGGACACAGCCCTCAAAGGCAGCTCAGCCCTCCGTGCGGGGCTCCTCAGGGCGTGCCTGGACGAAGTGGGGGCAGAGCTCGGAGCATCGGCGATGACGCTTCTGTTGGACATTGAGAAGTTCTACGACACAGTCTCGCTCGTCATCCTGTCCCAGATCGCCCTCAGAGTGGGATTCCCCGCAGTGGTGGTGGCGTTAGAGATCACAGCGTTCGTGGGCCCGAGGTACCTGCAGGAGCGCAACATTCTCAGCGAAGCGATCTGGTCCACGAGGTCTCTGGTAGCAGGCTCTGCCAGAGGCGTGGGGTTGGCGAAGCTGTTCTTGCACCCGATATTAGACAGGGCGCATCGGAGGTCGCCACAAGCTTCGCTGTGGACATTCGTGGACGACACGGTGGCGAGACAAGAAGGTAGCAGGCAAACAGTCGGCGATGGCATCATCCAGGTCACGGAGATCATCACGGACGGCCTCAAGGAGCAGAGGATGAAGATCTCCAGCAAGTCGGTCCTGATAGGCACCCACCCGAAGGACGTGAAGCGGACGGCTAAGTCCATGAGGAAGAGGCAGATCCCCGTCTACGCAGTCACGGAGGCACTGGACCTAGGCCTGGATTCGTCGGCTGGGAGGAAAAGGGTTACGACGAAAGCGAAGCAGCGTGCCAAGAGAGCGAAGCACAGGTTCGCCAAGATCGTGAGGCTGCGACGCACTGCGGCCTTGGCCAAAGAGAGTAAAGGATTATGGACGGCAGGAGCAGTACCACAGGCAGTGTACGGCCACCAAGCTTTCGGGTTCGCAGTCCATGAGCTCCAACGCCTACGACGACAAGCTGGACAGGTGGCAGGAGGTAAGGCGCGTGGCCGATGCTTGACGACGACACTGGCGGTCGAGTTGTGGAAGGGCGATCCAGGGGTGGCAATACGAGTTGCCGTGGTCAAGGAGTGGATCAACCTGTGGCAGCGCTACCCAGAGAACCACGCCAGGATCGTCAAGGCATGGCCGCGGATATTCGACCGTCTGTCAAAGCTTGGGGCAAAACGCTGGAGAGGAGTTCGCGGACCAGTCGGAGCGGTGCAGGCGACCATCATGGACGTGGGCTGGTATGCACCAACGGCGACGGTGTGGATGCGACCAGTCGGAGCAGATGAGGATCCAGCAGAACAGTGGGACATCCCGTCCGCCACGGACGGCACGTTCGACAACACGGGGTGCTTCCAGCAGCTGATAGACGACTTCGAGGACGACATCGTAGCTCAATACTGGAAGGCTGCAGCAGCACACCCACATGGTGAAGGTCTGGAGGATGGAGCGGATGTCTGGCAGATCCGCGCAGAGCAGCGAAGGTTCGAGAAGCAGGGGCAGCTGGACATGGTCGGGGCCAACATCGCCGTGGTCGCGGGAGGACAGTGGCCGAAGCAGCGATCCGTCGACCAAGGATACCTCCTGGACTGCAAGAAGTGCGATAGGTGCAAGGAGGAGGACGAGACCTTGATGCATCGGATCTGGCTATGTCCCAAGAACGTGGACCACGAGGACTTCACCAAGTCGGCGGACCTCCTGCCGGCTGCGATGGCGCAAGCTGAAGCAGAGCCAGCGCTGTGGCTGCGAGGACTGCCGCCAGCCTCTCTCACGCACCCTAGGTTTAATGATGAACTGTTAGAGGGGAGGGAGGTTCGGTTTGGTGAGCTGGGGGACTGGGAGGAGTGTCGGTACGAAGGAGAGATCCACATTTTCGGCGACGGCTCAGGAGGGAAGCACTCCTCGGACCCTCGCCGACGCCGCTGTGGATCAGCGATTGTAGCATTGCAGGTGCGCGACGGGGAGTGGAGTGTGGGTCGTGCTGTTGCAGTCCCACTCCTCGGTCGCAGGCAAACGGTCCCCCGCTCTGAGATTTTAGCGTTCGCTTTGGCGCTCGAAGAGTGCCACGCTGATTTTATTTTCATTACTGATCACAGGACGATCGCGAAGACCTGGAAATACCGCATGGAGCACCCTAAAGCCACGGGTCCCAATGAGGACCTTTGGGCCCGAGCCAGAGTGGCCTGGCAGACCCACCCAGACAGAGTTGTAAAGGTAGAGTGGACGGCGTCCCATCTGGACGAGACGCCTGAGCTGCTTGAATCGCCGCGGCAGCTGTTCTTGGCAGCAGGGAATTTAGCAGCGGACGTCTGGGCGGGAGTCGGGGCGGAGCTGGCTTGGGAGTTCGGGCTGGTGGGGAGGGTTCCTGAGACTGACAAGATAGACGCGATCGCACACCTCGTGCGGAAGAGAGCGCGCAGAGCTTTGCTACTGGCCGCCGCGTCGGAGACGTCAGAGCGTGCTGGTAGAGCCCCAGTAAGTAAGAGACTTTTAAAGCAGGAGAGATTGATCCGAGATTCTCCCCACCAGCTAGAGCGTGTTGGAAGCAAATGGAGGTGCTCACAGTGCGACGTGATCGCGACTGGAGCCAGGTTTTTGCGTTTTTCGGTTTCTCCGTGTCCTGGGCCCCCTGGCAAAACCAGGTCGGTGGTCCCAGAGTTCCTGCCGATTAAAGGAGTGGACCTTGAGATCCACGAATCCCACACGATCACTAGGGTCGATCGCTGGTTCTTGCAGATCTGTTCGGTCTGCGGCATGTATGCGACTGTGGACTCGAGGTCCTTGCGTCTGAAGTGTCGAGGTCTCACACCGAACGGTGCCGAGAATATTCGTCGAATTGAATTAGGTCTTTTCCCTCGGCGTGAGGGCCCCCCCAGAGCCATCAAGATGGCCATTGCTCGCAGAGATGAGGGTCGTGTCGTGTCGGCCCACGAGGCCAGGGGTTCGCAGGAGAACAGCGAGCGTGGGGGGGGCCCCACCGAGCCTCCCGCGGCGACCCGCGCCCGCAACGACGGGCACGAGCGGGAGCAGCCGAGCAGTGCAGCCAACGAGTCGCGCTTCCAGGCAAACGTTCAGAGATTGCTGGCTGCTGCGAGAGGCACGGCTGCGCATGTGCGGGCGCCGCGGGAGGATTCAGAGTCTTCCGATTGACGGCAGATGCCCGTAAGCCAGGACGGAGACTGAGGGACAGAGGTCCGAGAGCAAAGAGGTCCAAAGAGGTCCTCCTCCTCCTCCTCCTCCTCCCTGCCACCTAGCCTCCTCCTCCTCCTCCTCCTCCTCCTCCTCCTCCTCCCTGCCACCTCCTCCTCCTCCTCCTCCTCCTCCTCCTCCTCATCCCCCTCCTCCTCTTATTATTATTCTGAGTAGTATCATTATAATTTTTGGCATTAGCACTATGATTAGTATCATGATTATTCATAGTGTAGTACCATCAGTATTAGTATTTTTTATTTAATAATATTATTATTATTATGATTATTATTATCATTAGTAGTAGTAGTAGTAGTAGTATCAGTAGTAGCAAACGTAGTATTAGTAGTAGTATTAGTAATATCATTAGTACTAGTACTACTGGTATGAGTATTCGTAATTGTCTTAATAGTATTATTATTAGTATTAGCAGCATTCGTCTTCGTAGTTTTATTAATCTTAGTGTTCGTCTTACTAGTAGAAGTGTTAATATCAGTCTTCGTGGTAACAGACTCATTAGTAGTCTTAGTAGTTGTCTTATTATTCGTAGTATTGTTCTTAGTAGTATGCTCAGTATGCTGAGTATTCTTCTTGTTCGTCGTATTATTAGTTTATTCTTCTTAAAATTATTACTAGTATTATTAGTACTAGTATTCCTCTTCTTATTCCCATTCTTAATATTATCTGCTTCCTCCTCCTCCTTCGCCTCCTCCTCCTCCTCCTCCTCATCATCATCATCATCATCATCATCATCATCATCATCATCATCCTCATCATCATCATCATCATCATCAGCATCAGCATCATCATCATCATAATCATCATCATCATCATCATCATCATCATCATCATCATCATCATAATCCCTGCCACCTCCTCGTCCTCCTCATCCTCCTCCTCCTCATCCTCACCCTCCTCCCTGCCACCTCTTCGTCCTCCTCCTCCTCCTCCTCATCCGCCTCTGCCTCCTCATCGTCTTCTTCTTAGTATTATTATACGAATTCTGATTAGTTGTATCAAGTTTACTTGTATGCGTAGTAATATTATCAGTCTGAAATTAAGTGTAGTAGTATTAGTAGTATGATTAGTAATGTTATTATTAGTAGTATTATTAGTAGGAGTATTAATAATAGTAGCATTAGTATCATGAGTCTTCTTGATAGTATCAGTAATATTAGTATTGTATTATTATTCGTCGCATTCGTCTGCGTATGTTTCTTTTTCCTCTTCCTCCTCCTCCTCCTCCGCCTCCTCTTCCTCGTCCTCCCTGCCACCTCCTCGTCCTCGTCCTCCTCCTCCTCCTCCTCCTCCTCCTCCTCCTCCCTCCTCCTCATCCTCCTCCTCCTCCTCCCTGCCTCCTCCTCCTCCCTGCCTCCTCCTCCTCCACCTCCTCCTCCTCCTCCTCCTCCTCCTCCTCCTCCTCCCTGCCACCTCCTCCTCCTCCCTGCAGTCCCGCTCCGCCCCTCCCCGCATCGGCCTCCTGCAAAAATGGAGAGAGTTTTACTCGGAGTGGTCGTCGACCCGACAGTGGGGACCCGCACAAGCAAACAGGATCGACGATTCAGGCAGCTCGTTTTACAAGCACCGTGGATCGAGCTGGTGCAACTCT